ACTACTACTACTACTACTACTACTACTACTACTACTACTACTACTACCACCCAGTTACAGTACTAACTCAATTGGATGTGTATGAGAATAGGGGGCCTCCAGCCGAACCCACAAGTAAAAGGGAAAACTGTAAATTTAAACAGTACTTAGGCAAAAAACCATTGGTTGGGGGCGTCTCCTCACTTACCCTTCGTTGACGCAACGCTCGAATCCTCCCAGAGGCACCTTGTACTGTCTGTGGTTGGCAAAGAGTGAGTGAAACTGATTCCTGTCGTCGTGGGATGCGCACGGACGCAGAAAAGAAAAGCGCCGCCCAATGCGCCAGTTCTAGCGCCAGAAAGCAGCGGTTCGGGGTACTTGAGGGTCGCCACCATCAACAGTCTTGTGCTGTGAAGCTGAAATGGATGTCATCGGGGCTCTTTGAGCAACTATCGACAATGGAATGCGATCAATATGTTTAGTATATAGTCTTTTGCTTGATCCATCGTCATCGATAGTCTCGCCGTCCAACTTGAGATCATTTTGCCATCCAAATCAACTCTCACATCACAGCGTCCGTAGACAAAAGGGGCACATCTTCTTCACAAAAGAAGGACGTGGCGAGTCTGGTCGCTTCTGCGGAAGGTAGCCCAGTTATGCCCAGTATTGCCCAGTTGTATTTGGAGTGGAGCGTTCGGTTCGGGGAAGGCAGACGAGAAGAGTTTATGAACCAACCTGATCAAACCAGGAAAAGGTCAATTAAGGTAGTACAGTACACCTTGACTCTTGGCAAGCCGTATTCCAAAATGCTTTGTAGGAGGAACTTGCCAAAATATTTGGGATGTGGAGGGAGGAGTTCTGAGTCACAGTCATGACATATTTCCATGAAAAACATGTACCAACATGTCCTTACCATGCATAAATCCATGAAAGACACGTCCCAAAGAGAGACATGTATAGGTGAGGATTTTTTCTGCGGGATGTGTCCCCCTCGCTTCTCGGTGCCTTGGACCATCCATGTCCCATGAGTCATGACACGCTCCCTGCGAAGAAGGCCCCGCTCACCGCTTTTGGGGGGGGCGGAATGGGCCTGTCAAGAGGACAAGAAGTCAAGGTCGTTGTGTGAAGGCACAAGTAGAAGTACACCTGGCAGCTGGCACAAGTTATCAGAACGTCTCGAAGCCATTTCGCCCCGAGATCTGTCACCCCCGTCCCGTTTGCCACATTCCCCCAAGAAATGTCCGAGAACACCACGAGAACCGGACCTCGGCACTTTTGAACCTGAACCCTTGGAACCTCTTGAGGCTCTTGGCGCACTTGTCGCTCGAAGTTGGAGGCGTTGGTGCTTTGGCGGGTCCGAGATTTGCTCTGGGATGCTTCGCTCCGGTTATCACTCACCGAGCCAGGAGCCCCTAGTAGCGTCCTTGCTCCGTTCGTAGCTTCACTCCGGTTGTCACCCTAAGCTCACCGGCCTGCTTCAGGTTGTACAATTCCTCACGCGAGCAGATCACACCAAACGATCATGGTATCCGACTTGGAGCCACCTTGAACATAGCCCAAGCCACAGAAAAATGAAAGGAGTAGGCGCTACTGATCAAGGTATGGAGAAGAGTTGCAAAATATAGCCATTTATCCATATAGCTCGCCAGTTTTTGCAGAAAATATCCGCGAGGCTCTGCCAGGCTCTGCCCCAGAACTTCCGACTAAAAGCTGGGGACTTGGTCTGAGTCGAAACTGCAAATCTCTTTCAGCCATGTTTTGCATCTTGGCATCATCTAGGAGTTGTCCAACCGTTGTCTGCGTTTCTTGCAAGAAAAATATGGGATTCCAGTCATTCAGCCGATTTGACGTCGCCTCAGTTTTTGTTGGACGGAAACAAGTTGTAGAATTATAAACGAAACTCGGGGTCTGCTCAAGGCAAGTGGACAGTCTTCTTTTACATCAAGTGATTTTGCTTGTGATTCCTTCTTGGTCTTGTCTTGGGTTCTCTGGACTTGCAGATCTCCGGCATGATACAGGTGCATGATGTCACCTAGCAGTCTCTTGAGGCAAAGGTAAAGGTGGGCTTGCTTGCGAGCAGACTCCGGTTTCATCGCTGAATCACCCTGAGTGAATCTGTGCAAGCGTGAGACATGTTTCGATGATATACCAATCATAATGAAACAATTGTTGTATCTAGAGTTTTACAACTCACACTTGAGTGATTTTTGTTGCTTTAGATGCACTGCGTTCTCCCGCGGCTCCCGCGCGGGCGACAGGAACAGGTCCTTTTGGCTGAAAGCGCCTTGAGCCGCCGCCTGTCTGAATGTTCTGCCACCCATGGGATTCGGGAAGGTCACCCGTTCCACGCACTCAGAAAGATCATGTCCCATGTCCATGTGTTTACAAGTGGCAGCTGCTAGCGCTTACGCCAAGGACCCAGAAACTTCCCCAAAGATCGCGGCCAGCGACCTTCGCCGTTTGTTTCGCCGCCCAGAAAACGTAGGTACCTCAACCACTCCCCTCAACATCAGGTGAAGCTCCAACATGAACCGTACCTGCGGAGGCCCTGGCCCTGGCCCGTGCCGTTCGTTGGTCGGTGGCCAATTCGTCCCTCGCGGATGGGAGAGCGATCCCAGGCCTGTCCAGCCAATGATTGATTGACCCCCATGGCCACCTGCAAAAGGCCAGCAGTGGAGGGAGTTGAAGAAAAAAACTCTTGGAGGCAAGCACAAGGGCCAAAAAGCGCATGGTGTTTGAGTCTGTTTGAGGCTTTGGGGTTTATAAGGACGGTTTTTTCATTATTAGTTGCTCTGCCGAGGGGATATGGTGAGCAATTGAAGTGGTCAGATCTTGGTGCGCGGTGAGGTTGGGGAAGGCCGGGTGTTGCTGCAAAGGTTCTTCTCGCTGCCTATTCCCTAGAAGTCCAAAGACTGTATGTATCTATTATGATTCTATATGTACTACTTTTCCTTAGTAAAGTACAGTAAGTTCCCTTTCAGGCCCCCGGGAAGTCGGAAGACTATTTTTGTTTGCTGTCTTTGACTCTTTTGGTCATCACTACTTGCAGCACAGCCAGGCCCAGTGTCTGCCAGTTCCTTGCAGTGTCCACGATCCAGAGTACGCCCTTTCGACACCTGTTGGCGCACCATGATCCATTTCGTCAGGAGCTGATTTATCACTTCACGTGGTACGTGAATCCCTTCTTGAGCGGAGGAACCACCAGACATCCGGACAGATCCTCCTGAGCACTGGACCTCCGCCAGAGTCGTTGCGCCACGCTGGACCCAAAAACGAAAACGCTGGCGACAGGGGTTGAAACGCAAATTAGGGGCAATTGCTTTGCTGCTTCTGACGCCGAGATTCGACGTAGTTAGTCTCTTGGTCAATGGAAGACTGAAACAGTAGGAAGAAAAAGATATAGTGCCCAGGTGACACGTGCTACCTTGAGCCAAGAGCACAGCATCAAGCACCGCCACCTAAGCAGTGCTCTGAGAAGTGCCAAAGACCCCTGGTTTGCCCCTTTCAGATAGATACAAGGGTGTGGTGTGGTGTGATGGTCAAAATCTATTAGTTTGTGTTCCATCAGGACTCCTACACGAGACACCCCCTCAAGAGTTCATTCCGGGCTGAACCAAATGGGAAGACCTGGCGACGGCCGATGGCGGCAACCTTGGGAGTCGAAAAAATCACTCCCATGGGGTTCTCAACACTCCGATGTGTCAAAGCTTCCCAGTGTTTGAAGCGCTACGATGCTCGGGTTTTTTGGGCATCGCGAACCGAACGGAGCGTTCGGACGCTATGAACGGGGCAAAACTGGCCAGGCCAGGCCTTACTAGGATCTTTGAAGGGTGTCCAGCCCAGCCCTTCCATCCCTCCAGCCCCGGTCACCCGCCCAGACTCGTGCGGTTTTTCAGTCCGTTCGAGCACGAGATCCAACGGCTGAGGGTCCTCCCCCGGGCGACGGTGGTGTCAGCGACGCTTTCAACACTTCTCCTAGTCTGCCCTGAGAATCTGCACCGGCTGGAGCGACCCTTCCTAACTTAGAAATACATGAGCATTGATCCAACGGTGCAGGCCGCCTGAGAAGAGAAGCCTTCCTACAGTTCGTTCGGGGTATGATGTGAAAAGCTGAAATTTGGGTCAGCCACGGAAATCATTGGCTGAAGACCCAGGAAGGAAGACATATTGTTTTTGGATGAAGACTAGACAGTTTCCTGTTCTTGAGGGATCGCCTCAACCCATCCTGGAACAGCCAATCAAAAGCAATGACACACTTCAGATATGTGTCATGAATGATGCAAATTTGATCTCCGAGTGAATTCTCGACCTGCAATACATCCTTCGCATGTCTCCGGCCCTTGCAAAGATTGGATCAACCCCCACTAGGTCATCCACTTGAGGATGAATCTTCGACCTCCTCTGAAAAAATACGAGGTCGAAACGACTCTTTCTCGGTGACACGAATGAACTCCTTCACGGTCCAAACGCCCACGAACGGAATTCCGTTCGCGCAAAACTCCGGTCCCGAGAGCCTTCTGCGAAGCTGTAACAAGACGGATCCGTGGAATCTGGACAAGCAAGAAGTACCGCAGCAGATGGGTCATCGTTTTGAGGGGTCCTGAAATTGAAAGAAATTCGTGATTTCAACCTGTATCTTGAAGATGCCTTCGCCAACGTGCTTCCTTTTTTGGCAAAATCCCGGAGGGGCGCCCAGAGTCCACAGTTCCTTCACTGTGCAAATTCCAATAGGTCCCCCATTTCAAAAGAGTTGCGTCTGAAATCCATCAGGAAGGCTGTATGTTGGTGTCCAAAACCACTCCGATGCGGACTTCAAGGTAGATGGAAAGGAAAGGCTTATTCCCAAACACCCCCCTGTGTTGCGGAAGTGTGTTTGGAAGCTCATTCGGAAGAGCGAGCTCTGTGTAGTGTATGTGTGTGTGTGTTTGTCGCATTCAGAAACTGTTCAATACTTCCCCATCTTTCTATGCTCGAGGACCGGAATCCCTCTGGCCTGAATCCCTTGCCGCGGTGTTTGAAAACCCAATCTCGATCTCGGACGCACTACTTGGGTGCAGGAGTTTCAGGTGAATCCGTCCAACTTCCTGTGGTTGTCATCAGTTGTCATCAAAAAGGCAGTTCGATTTAAATACATCTGTATATAGATTGATCTGCTGAACCAGGATTCCGCCAGGCAAACATCACCCTAAAAGAGGAGATGCTTGAGTTTTGTGCAGATCGTTGCGGATCAGCGAGTTGTTTTACAGTCTTCAAGCCCAAAGAAGCCCAGGGTTTCTATGGCTTCTGCTGCGCCCAAGTAGCTGGCCATCAATTCAGGGTGGTCAGTGCTGAGTTTCAGCGGAGGCTCGACCACCTGGCAAAAACCGTCCGTGGAGGCCACACCCCGACCACGAGGGTGCAAAACCGAAGAAGAATGATCTGAATGTGCAAACTTTGTCTCTACCCTGCTACCTGGAGTCGCCTTGGGATTTGTCCTATCTTGCCGGAGAGTAAGATAGACCCTGACAATGGAATTCCGGAAGATCGCTTTCCTCTACGAAGCAGATGTCAGCCTTTAGGGCATTACCATGCCTCCTTCAAAAAGACTTGACGGGACGGGACTGACCGCTCAAGCGCCTGGTCTTCTGCGGTAGTGAGGTGCCTTCTCAACTGCCCTTGAAAAGCCGAAGGACGGACTTCTTCACACGATTTCACATGTTTGCTCGTACCCATGACCGCATCAGGTCTCCTATAGGTTTAAAGCAATAGAACAAAGCAAAGCAGGCAAGGGAAGTCGGCCAACAGCTCTGTCACTTTTGGAAACAGATTGGCCTGAGGGTTGGGCGCAGGGGTCCTTGATGTTTGGGCTGAGCAGGTGTTGGATTGTGTGGACCAGAGGGTGGAGGTGGCCTTGTTATTGCCTGTTCATCTTTTTTTCCATTCGATCAGCTTGGCAGCCGGACAGACAGACAGACAGACACAGAGAGAGAGAGAGAGAGTTTTCTTCCCCGTGTCGGCCAGAGGAGCCGCATCACAAGGCCATCAAGTGACGTTGCTCAGCCCATGGGCCGAGCTTTTGCGAGGCTGTGGGCTTCGGTTTTCCCAGTTGACCTGCCAAACGACCTGCCAAACGCAAAATCAGATCGAACACGGAAATGCGGGAATCCATCAAAAAGTGCCTGCGCCGCTTGGAACCGAAAATATCCCAATCATCCGATTCCAGAGCAAACATGCACTTCAAAGGAACATCACCATGCCCAGGGCCGGAGCCCCACTCTGCCCCCCCCTCCCCCTCACCTCTTCAGCTCTCCATCTGTGCCATGGTGGCGGTGAAGCCTCGCTGCTCCGTGCGCTGCACCATCTTGTGGATCCGCTCCCTTACGCTTACCTGCGGAAGAAGGCAAGGAGTCTGGGAGGAAGGGGAAAGGGGAGGCTGTGGAGGCATCTCAGGGAATCTGGCTGATGGGTCCAATCTTGGTGGGTGAAAACGAGCGTTGGCAAGAGTTGAGGAGAATTGCTGGAAGAAAGGACGCGAGAAATGCCTCAGCCTCGAGTTCGTGATGAAGAAACAGGCACAAGCAACACACCGGCCATGAGCCACAAAAGAAAGAATCGAATGAGAAAAGCATTGTTCCCAATCAGAATATCCACCCCAACGTCTGAGTCTGAGTCGTCTTGGGAGATGTTGGCAAGGCATTTCGCTTTGTGACATAGCAAACATTAGCAAACTATACGAAGGCGGAAGCCCTAGCCTTCGAAGCCCTGGTGATCTGCTCCTTCCAGTTCTGACCCCAAAACTGCCCTTCCAGAACTTTCCTCACCCTGGCTTCCACAGTATCAGTCTCTCTTCATGTTTCACTTGATCTGCTTGTTGCCCATGAAACTCCGCTTCTTCATGTTTCAACCCGCAGCTGAAGCTCGCAGACCGACGCTTTGTCTCGATCGATGTCTCCGCGACCTGCTTCAGACCGGAACTGCACCGACCGACCTGCTCCTCCAGGCTGGGCTTCAACAAGGTATCTTCGATCCATCGATCCATCCAGATGTTGGCGTTGTCCTGCCATCGACATCGGTCGAAAAATCCCTCCCGCCTCAAAAGCCGGCGAAGGCTTTCACATCATCGATGGACCGGTCGGCCGCTCTTCGAACCGACTGGTTTTACTACGAACGGAGCAAGAGGACGCTACGAACGGAGCTTCTTGGGCATCGCTACTAGTAACAAGGACGCTACCAAGGTCGAGTCAATTTAATTGTTCTTAATAGCTTCTTGTTACTACTAGTAAGGCCCTTGTTACTAAAAGCGATGCACTTGTTCCTAGTAGCGCCTTCTGGACCGAGGGCGCGGGTTCGGAAAGCGTGCCTCCTCCCCGTGCCATCCTGGTTCGGAATGGTCATGGCAAACTGGAAGAAAGTGGATGTAACTAAACAGATTGTACCTAGCCCAATACCAAGACACCTCAAAAACCAGTGGTTGCTAGGGACACCTCAAAACCCACCCTTCCTTGTTCGGGCAATCAAACCCGTCCAGGAAGACTGAAAACACTCCGAGAGTGAAAAAAAAACCTCATCCCCCGCAGAAAGCAACATCCGCCAGAGCAGCGATGATCATCTGGTTGGTGAACCAGACTGGTGGGAGCACGCGAGCCTCCGTGCAACGCACAGATCTGCAAACAAAATAGCCAGACAGCACGGGTGTGTCAAGTGAATCAGGAGCTGGAGGTCTATAAGTCCAGAACAAGGAAACACGCGAATGCGAAGCCAATCCAGACTGAAAGATCTGGACATGGAGAAAAGGACCTGGACATCCAAGACATGCTTTCGATTCGTCTTCAAACTGTCTCGGCATTTGGGATTGGGGCGTGACTTGTTCTATCCGATTCTACCCCAGACCTGCATCTAATTACAGGCAGTGTGTGGCTTTATGACTTCTCCGATTTGTGTGCTATTTCTCTGCCGTCCCTAACAAGTACCTCCAAAAATCTCCAAAGTATGTGTCGAAACCCTCTTCTGAGAACCCTCGAGGAAGATTCCTTGTCTGACCCACCTCGCAGATAGCCCCAGGCTCAATTAGTCGTCCAGCTAAAGCAAACGAACAAGTTTGTCCAAACATCAAAAGAAGGTCCTGCATCCCAGTACCTCTGACACGAATGCGTTTTCCATCTTTCCTTTCCTCCCTTGCTCCGTGCAAGAGAGGTTGTAGGCTTCGTCCCACTTCCCCGCACCACGCTCCCATGGCCGCCGCTACGTTTGCTTGGGGCCGGTGCCATGGCTAAGGCCAGTGGTGCCACCACGAACTCAATGAAGCCAATCTGCCCAACGGCCCCCGCGTTTTCGTCTCCGTTTGGTTCAGTCCGGACACTCTGTTGGTCTAAACGTCCTACCAGGTTCTTACAACCAAATGTCAGCAGTCGGCCTCCAACAGTTTCAACCGGATTTCTTGCAAAACCCGTTTTTCCTGTACGAGAGGCTGCCTCAACAGGATTTCCTGTTGTATTGGGAGTCCACCAGTCCCGATATGTCAGGAGTCCACCAGACCGCACACTCCAAGCTGATCAAGGGGTTCCAATGAACAAGGCGGGAACATCTTCACCAGTGAAGTTTGAGGTGTTCCATTCTTTGTCTGCAAAAAAAATGGAGACACAGGCTAGGCTCTAGTATACCATACAAAGACCAAAATCGTCCAACTATGCAAAAGTAATGCCTTTTCTTTCATCCTTATTTAATAAGCTCAGAAAAAGCCAAAAGGCAGAAATGTTGCATTACAAGAACCACTGCAGTCGCTTGGAAGATCATTCAAAGGTGGATATGGGTGTGTATCGGAATAGGGAGTTTGTCCATGTTTGCTCTGGCCAGTATGTCTGTGGAGGCCTCCCTATTCTCATACGGCTGCTTTTTTGTGCGAATGGAACTGGGCCGACCCTAGCCATACTTCATGGTAGGCATCTTTCCGAGTGGTTTCTTCTAAGTGCAGTGAGGTTTGGAAAGAAAATATGTGATACATGTGGTGGCGGGGCGGAGGCTCATGAGATCTCATTAATTGAGAAGCCAACAGTTCAGCCTGCATTTCCCTCTTCATTTCTTCCATGATTCACCGTAGTGTCGTTTGCGTATTATTGTGATACTTGTGGTGGTGTATCCTCCTTCTGTCCAATCCACAACTCACAAACACCGTGCGAAGTTCAGCGCCAAATCACACGCCTGCGACAAAGGCATGTTCACGGTCTTCTTGTCGTTCAGAGGGCCAACGGGAATCCCCAGCGCCTTCGCCGGCGCCGCGAGCGCCGACCCCAATGGGGGCGGAAGCCGAGCCGTGACCTGGTAAGACCTGTTCGTTGCAGGAAGAAGGTCGGGAGTTGCGAGAAGAAACACCTGGGAGTGGAAAAACCGGTGTTTTGCGAAGGTCTGGGTGGTACCTTTTCTGAGCTTTAATCATGGGGGGGTTGCACTAGACTGTTCATTCTTGGGATGATACAAACTCTGA